CTGAATTCATCGGAAATATCTAATTTATGGGCATCAAAGATTAAAAGAATTAAATCAACTATTTATTTAAATAACAACTAAACTATTTTGTATAGAAATTAGGGTTTAGGGTTTAGGGTTTAGGGTTTAGGGTTTAGGGTTTACATGAATACATCTTCTGAATTCATCGGAAATATCTAATTTATGGGCATCAAAGATTAAAAGAATTAAATCAACTCTTTCTGCAAACCATTGGACAACTGCCTCAAAATCATAACCACGAGATGTTTGTTTATTTCCGCTTAATACACCTGGTGTATCTATTAATGTTAAACCCTAATATATAATACACACACAAACCCTAAACCCTAAACCCTAAACCCTAAACCCTAGAAAACCCTCAAAAAAAAATAAAAAACTAAAATATTATAAACATATTCTTTCACATAGGAAATACATCCAATACATCTCAAATGCGTATAGAGGATAAACACGACACCTTAAACCCTCATCCATACACCCTAAACCCTAAACCCTAAACCCTAAACCCTAAACCCTATGATAGATGCACAGCAGGAGAGGCAAGGAGAAGCAAAACAGCAGGAAGCAGGTAGATATTACACGAAGAGATAAAACAGAATCTCTGCTGGATGTCGAGTTTAGTCAATAGAAACCCTGCTGTGCAAACCCTAAACCCTAAACCCTAAACCCTCGACTTACATTTAATACAACACAAGGTAGCATAGAACACTCAAACCTCTGCAAGAAAATGTTGCCGAAATTAGAGAGTTGGCTGAAGGGTTTAGTTGGATCCACCACTGCTGTATTACCAGGAATCACCTAAGAAAAAAATACAAACCCTAAACCCTAAACCCTAAACCCTAAACCTTAAACCCTACATTTTGCATTTCTACACAAGCATACGCCTCTCTTCTCTTGGTCGGCAGGAATCTACACTGGAGGGTTTCCCTGAACCTGATGGTTTAGGGGATACCGAGAAGCAGGTATACACATATGGAGGGATTAGGGTTTAGGGTTTAGGGTTTAGGGTTTACCTGATCCATAGGACCCTCCATAATAGCAACAAATTTATCTGTTGTAGGCTCAGGGCCAATTCTTAGGCCTGGATAATCTCTCTCTAATAAATGTTGGACGAAGGTTGTCTGTAACACAAACCCTAAACCCTAAACCCTAAACCCTAAACCCTAAACCCTTGAACAGACAGTGTGGCTAAACCCTAAAAACTTCTAATCCTCAGGGTCACCCCTAAACCCTAAACCCCAAACCCGAGGGTGTATCCAATAACTAAGACTAACCCTAAACCCTTCGATCTAAAGCCCGCGTCTCTGCCTATATCTGTCCAAACCCTAAAAAAAGGGTTTAGGGTTTAGGGTTTAGGGTTTATACCTTTCCTGTAGAGTACTGGCCTAATACCATAACCATAGGCTTAGCAGCAAAATCTCCATCAGTAAGAAGAGGAGAATAAAATTGTTGGTATTTAAATTCAGATTCAATTGGCAATAAATATTTCTTATACATTGCCTGTAAACCCGCCTTCACGTCCTGTATACACATACAAACCCTAAACCCTAAACCCTAAACCCTAAACCCTAAACCCTAGAAATTCGAAAATTTTTAAAGAAGGAGGGAGGAAGGAGAATACAATAGATGACATATTTCTTGTATTTATGAATAACTGTCGGGTGTACAGGCAGCTTTATTAACGTGTATAGGCATAATATTATATTAATTAAGGAGTTTATATATATAATATAAAGAAGAAAGAAAAAAAAAGGGTTTATATTAGGGTTTATATATAAACCCTAATTTTCTTACATTGTATACATTTGTTGATTGTTGGGTGCCGCTCTTGCGGCTACCAAAGAGCCACTTATTCATCTTATCTTCTTCTTAAGGATGCATGCATTTCTATCTTGCTGGCTCCTGCTGGCAGCGGCTGCTGCTGCTGCTGCTGTTGCTGTTGCTGTTGCTGTTGCTGCTGCTGCAGCTTCTGCTCCTGTTCCTTGGGGTCGCCCAACCGGTTAGGGTTTAGGGTTTAGGGTTTAGCGTGTGTAAGCCGTCGGGGGCTTTCTTGTAGCGACTCCCGCTAAACCCCCCTTAAAGAAAAGGAAATAAAATAAGTGTTTAATTATAAAGTGTAGAAAAGCAGCAGAAATAGCTGCTGCTGCTGCTGCTTGCTGCTGCTGCTGCTGCTGTATAGGATACAAAGAAGCAGAGGCGTGTATGCGGCCTCTAATTAACTCTTTTAAAAGTAATTTATTCTTGCATGCAAAATAAACTTCTTTTTATTTTATTTAAGAAAAAAAGAAGAAAGAAGACTCCCCTAATGTAGCAGAAGAAGCAATTGGGGCCCTATAGGAGTCGCATGCATGCATGCAACAGCAGCAGCAGCAGCGATGCTGATGTGCTCGCTGCTCTCTTTTTACTAGTTTGTTTATTTGTCTTTGTCTCCGAGTAAATTATGCATCTCCTTCGTCCCCTAATTTGTCTCTTAAAGCAGCCTGCGGGGGGGTTTAGGGTTTAGCTACCTGCAGCAGCTGCTCCTGCTGCTGGAGGCTGAGGCGGTCCTCCAGCAGCAGCAGCACAGCAGCAGCTGCAGCAGAAAACACTAGCCTTATTTGCATGAGCTCTAAGCGTTTTTAGCTGCCGCTGCGTGTCTTTTTCTTCTTCCGCTTGTCTTTTTTATTATCTACTGCTGCTCCCCCTATAGATACAATTCTATTGAACTAGGAGAAGAGCAGCTAGCCAACAAGCACACACCCTCCCTGTGCTGCTTCCTCTGCTGCTGCAGCAGCATCAGTTGCCAACTAAAGACACACCAGAGCACAGATACACACCTTTTAGTGACTATTCGCTGCAGTAATTCTATTCAGTAGAATTGCTGCTGCAAGCAACAGCAGGCGCCAACAAGCCTGCTGCATATAGCCGCTACTGCGGTAAATTCTAGACTGTAAACCCTTAAGAGGAAAACAGGGGAGGGGAGATATTCGTTGACAGCTCTGCTACCCAGCAGCAGCAGCGTGCCTGTGCCTCCGGCTCTGCGCCTATCCACGGGCTCGATTCCTGCACGCAGAGGCTGCTCTTTTCGCCAGCAGCGGGTTGGCTGCAAGAGTTGGAGGCAAGTGTTTTCTGCTCGCGTGCAGCTGAGGATTCTCCTTGTTTCAAATGCAGGATCGTCCCAGCGTCCTCTCACGTGCCTAAACAGCCAGGTGGCTTCTGATTACTGCTAGAGAGGATGCAGCAACTCTTAACCAACCAGAGCAGTCTCCTTGCATCCTATGCTACATAAAAGGTCACAATAGGAGAAATGCTGCCAAGATATAAAATGGCTGAAGCGTTCCGCTTCTTCTCTCCTCTCCCACCCTGCCATTCTTAATTGGGTAGCATTGAGGCGTGCAAGCCCTGAGCTGGGTGAATATAGGGGTAGAAAGAATCCTCTTAGCATCTTAGCGAGGCACAGCCATGGCAGAGTCTACCTAGATTAGCCTAGTTCGTATTGATAGGCCTTCTCTAGGCTGCTGCAAACGAAGCCGTAGTCCAATGATTGTCTACGCCGCCAGTACTTGCATGCAATACATGCATGCAGCACACGTGGTTATTTTCTGCTTGGAAGCGCATCAAGATGGTTCTCTCCTAGCAGCAATCCGGAGCGCCGCTTCTGCGGGGACTCACTGAGGAGGAAGTGTTTGCTTTTAGGGTATCCTTTGTAAGGCTGTAGTCTGCCGTCGTACTCGTAGCATAGCCTGTAAGGTATTAGCGACAAGAGAGAAGTGGCTAAACTCAACTGCAGCAGCAAACGAAGAAGCACTACAGTGCCAAGGATAATATTCCCTGAACTTAGAAAGTTGCAGTTTTGCTTTTTTGTTGCCTCCTGGAGTTTTATGCAAAATACACCATCATTCTTGTGCAGGCAGTGAATTGGTCAACACAGAGGCAAGGCAAGAGGGTAAACTCATCAAAGTAATTAGATTTCTTCCCTTGTGAGGAATTCATTTCTTGTACAAATATGCACTCTTCCCTGCTGATCTTTTTAACAGTTAAAAGAATGACTAAAACACCCTCGAGGCATAACCCCAACGAGTCAGCAACGTCATGGGAAGAAGTCCCAACTGTAGGAGAATCCGTTTCTATAGACCTAGGAATCAATTCTTAGGGGCAAAGGGAAATAAGAATACTCCCTTAAGTGCCGAAGGCTACCTTAGTGCCTAGATGATAATCCCTTACACGGAGCTCTCCCTTGGAGACATATACCAGCGGCCCTTACTGGATCGGTAAGGAAATTATTCGTCAATCTCTGCCATTCTACGGTCTAGGAGGCCCTAAACTGTTACAGTCCCTCTTATACAATGGCTCAACTAATTAGTTGCTGTTATTATGCTGTCTCTCCCCAACGTCCAGCAAGCCTGTCTTAGTCCTCTGTACATCAGCACCTCTCCTGTAGGTACCGTTGCAAGTCTGCTGCAGTCCTGACTACAGCAGGTCTTCGCCAGGCTAATTAAATAAGCTGTCAGCTAACTGTTAGTGGCATTTCTTGACGACCACGAATTGTGCGTAGCAGCAAAAAGGTGCAGCAGGTTATTTCCTGTGTATAGCGAGGGGGAAGAATTAACATTAATAAGTTTCTTTCTATACCCTCGTTGCTATTTATGAGGTTAGCTAAGACTATAAGAACTACTGTTAAATAAAATTTATTTATAATTAATTAAATATATTATTATTTATTCACCAATACCCTCATATCTATTGACGGCAACACACGCAGAATGCATACGCCCCCTGAATAGGCAACATGTCCCTAAATATATTGGGGTATATCTTTGTTGCAGTGTATTCATTATTGTATTTAATGTACTTTTTTGTTAATTTTTTCTTTTTTTTTTTTCTTAAGAGTATATACTACTACCTGCCTACGTACCCCTCGCTATGCACAGCGGTATGTAATGGTGGGGTATAAAGGAGTATAATTGTGTATAAAAAAAGACAACAAAAGAATATAAATGAATAAAAAAGAATAAAAAAAGAAATAAAAAAAAGAAAAGAAGGAAATAAACAACAATATGTGTGTATAAATATCCGTAGGTGTCCGTGCAGGTATACAACGTAAGTAGATAAGAGGCCCAAAAATATATAGAAAGAAAAGGGAATAAATAAAGAAAATAAATAAGAATATAATTAATTAAATATAGGAATAAATAAGAAGCCCCAAAGTGTCTGTCTATCTTGAGTAGCAGCAACAGCAACAGCTGCTGCAGCCCCTACTGCTGCAGCAGCAGCAGCAGCTGCAGCTGCCTGTGGGGAGGGGCTGGCGGTGCTGGTTGGACGTGTATGGGTAGTTGTAGTGTATAGATAGATAATAAATAATAGAGAATTATATGATTAAATAAATAAATAAATATAAAAATAAATAAATAATAAATAAATAGATAAATAAAATAAAAAAAAAAGAGAATAATATATATATATATATATGTATTATATGCATGCATGATGGATGGATTGGGCAGCAGCCAAAGAACAACAACAACAGACCCACAATAATGAGGAGGAGCAGCAGGAGCAGCAGCAGCAGCAGGAAGGAGCAAACAGCATTTATAAAGGTGTATAAATGCTGTATATAAATAAATATTATATATAATAGATGTAATAAGAGGTGAATAATAGTCTAGACCTTCCCTACCAACCGATAACAGCAGCAACAGCAGCAACAGCACCACAACAGCAACAGCAGCAACAGCAGCAGCAGCAGCAGCAGCAGCAGCAGCAGCAGGAACAAGAAAGATGAAGCTAAATATAGCAAATCCAGCCTGCGGGCTACAGAAGACAATAGAGATAGATGATGAGAAGAAGCTCCTCCCTTTCTTTGAGCGTCGTATAGGTATGGATATAAGAGGAGATAGTCTTGGTGATGAATATAAGGGTTATATACTAAGAATAACAGGAGGTAATGATAAACAAGGATTCCCTATGCTACAAGGAATATTAATTAATAATAGGGTACGTCTTTTATTTAATAATTTAATGAAATGTTATAGGGAAAGAAGAAAAGGACAAAAAAAAAGAAAAAGTATTAGGGGTGCTATTGTTGGTCCTGATCTATCCGTACTTAATCTTATTATTATTAAGAAAGGTATACATAATATACCTGGATTAACTACTACTGCTGCTGCTGCTGCTGCAGCAGGAGAAGGAGGAGATAATAGTGCTGCTGCTGCTGCTGCAGGGGAAGGAGGAGAGGTAGGTAGTGGTGTTGTTGTTGACCACCAACCAAGGAGATTAGGACCTAAAAGGGCAAATAATATACGTAAATTATTTAATCTAGATAAGGATATAGATGTAAGGAAATATGTAGTAAGAAGGGAGATAAAAGAAGGAAAAAAAAAATATAAATCACCAAGAATACAGAGATTAATAACAGAGACAAGAATAAGAAGAAAAAGAATATATAAACATAAATTAATTAAACAAAATAATATTAGTAGACAACAATATAAACAATATAAAGAATTAATACATAAAATTAATACAGATAAAAGGCATAAAAAACAAGAAATTACACAACAAAAAGGTGCTGCAGCAGCTGCAGCAGCTGCAGCAGCAGCAGCAGCAGCAGCAGCTAAACACTAAATATATATATATATATATATATATTCATCTATTTATATTTATATATTCAACTTTGGGGCTGGCAAATATATCTATATGCATATTCATATGCATGCATGCATGTATATGTATATAACTATGTATTACTATTCTTGTATGCATGCATGCATGCATGCATACAGAGATGCATGCATGCATACATACATGTATAATATAATGGATAAATAAACCAAGGATACTAATTAATTAATTAATTAATTTAATTAATTAATTAATTAATTAATTAATTAATTAATTAGTCTCCTTATTTAATTAAGACAAACATTTCTTCCTTTTGTCTCCCCAAAGAATTACCACACATCCTTGTTGTCTCCCTTATTAATAAATAAATAAATAAATAAATAAATAAATAAATAAATAAATAGTAATTAAATAGATAAATAATAAATATATAATTATAGGTATATATTTATTTATTATTTATAGCGAGGAGGGAACAGGTAGGAGTCTATTTATTTATTTAGTTATTTATTTATTTATTTATTTATTTATTTATTTATTTATTTATTTGTTTAGTTATAAGGAGACAGTTAGTAAATAAATAAGGAGACAGTTAATAGATAAATAAGGAGACAGTTAGTAGATAAGGAGACAGGTAATAAATAAGGAGGTATGTATAAGGGAAATAAATAAATAAATAACAATAAAAAAGGAGACATTGCTGTGTCTCCTCTTCGTTGCTTGCTGCTGCAGCAGCAAGCAGCAAATACACTGCAGCAGCAAATCCCTATAGAAAGCAGCATCATCATTAGCAGCAGCAGCAGCATCATCATTAGCAGCAGCAGCAGCAGCAGCAGCAGCAGCAATATTATTATTATTAGCAGCAGGAGCAGCAAATAGTCCCTCTTTTATTGTATATAAATAAAGGAGACAAAAATAAATAAATAAAAAATTTATTTGTTAAAAAAAAAGGAGACAGCATACTACATTTAACTGCTGCAGCTGCTGCTGCAGTTGCTGCTGCAGTTGCTGCTGCAGTTGCTGCTGCAGTTGCTGCAGCAGCAGCAGCAGCAACAGATTATTTAAGTGTCTCCAAGTCAAGTAGGTGCTGCAGCTTATCGCTCCTGCTGCTGCTGCTGCTGCTGCTACTGCTGCTGCATATGCATGCTGTCGTCGTCTTGCTGCAGCATATCGGGATCGTCTCCTTCAGAGACGATCCCCTCATCACCACCACTCCCGTCTGATGCTGCTGCAGCAGCAAAACAGCAGCAGCAGCAGCAGCAGCAGCAGCAGCAATATATCTAATGTATACAGGAAATGGGTTTAGGGTTTACGATTTACAGTTTTGCGTGCAGAAATTAGGGTTTAGGGTTTAGGGTTTACGAATTAGGGTTTAGGGTTTAGGGTTTACGAATTAGGGTTTAGGGTTTAGGGTTTACAAACCCTACCTGATTG